TTGAGAAAAGAACATAGACTTCCATCACATTCAACTCTATCTTTAAGGTCTGACTTACGTCGGAAAATGTTCTACTCTTTTGATTACTTTGTGCTAAGTAGAACAGAGAACACATTATCTAGACTTTATTCAATATTTTCTAGTCCAATGAGTGAAGAAACTTCAAAGCTGGACTAGTCTTTTTACAGTGATGCTCATCAATCACTACTTGCAACTCGTGTTCGAACATACGATTTGGCAAAGATTGCTCCTTACGTCAGCCACACATTCCCTCAACTCTATTCTATGGAAAATTGGGGAGGTGATTGATAGTTCCCAAGAGCAAACGGCAATAGACACAATGATGGGTTTCTTCTGAGTTTAAGAATGAATGAAGCACTTTTCAATTCAAAGTCAATTGACGAAAAAGTGAACCCAATCTTTGATGAAAACTTATTACTTTTATCTTGACAGGTGCCACCTTTGATGTTGCAATGCGCTTCTTGCACGAATGCCCTTTTGAGCGACTTGAACTGCTCCGCAAACTCGTCCCGAACATTCCATTCCAATGTCTTCTTCGTGGTGCCAACGCTGTCGGCTACAGCAACTATCCAGATAATGTCGTCGACAAGTGAGTTACGCCTCTAATTGGCTTCGTACTAACTATGTAGTAATAGTATCGTATCTTCTAATTAGGTTCTGTGAAGTAGCAGTAAAGTCAGGAATGGATGTTTTCCGAGTATTCGATTCCTTGAACTATTTCCCGAACTTGGTCGTAGGAATGGAGGCCGCTGGTAAGGCTGGTGGTGTGGTGCGTGTTTTTTTTTTGCCTAAATCTGCATCAACTATTGTGTTTTCTCCACTGCAGATGTTTTTAGGTAGAAGCTGCGATTTCCTATACTGGAGACGTCGCGGATAAGAGCAGAACGCAGTACGACTTGAAGTACTATCTCGATTTTGCTGAACAACTAGTTAAGGCTCAAGCCCATGTTCTAGCAATCAAGGTAGGCATTTTCCAAAGTTCACCAAGAATGTATGGGATAGTTTTGATGAATGTACTTCTAGGATATGGCTGGCGTTTTGAAGCCGCAGGCAGCAAAATTATTGGTCACAGCCTTGCGAGACAAATTCCCAGACATTCCCATCCACATCCACACTCATGATACCGCCGGAGCTGGTGTTGCAACAATGATCGAATGCGCTAAAGTTGGAGATTTTTGAAAATTTCTTGCTCGCTGATCGCGCTTGTGATTGGCCAGAAACAAACTACACTCAAAAGAGAGCAATGATGCATTCTGACTCAGACTATGTATTAGAACTTTGGAAACGAACATCTCTACAAGAACGGTTAATGCGAAAGTGGTCGTGTAGATCGAGATGTTGGGGATTTTGTGATAATGAAATGAAGCGGAAAAAAGAAATCGAGTCTGAAAAAATTACTGGAGATCCCCTGGTTTGCACAAATCTAAGAATTCAAACATAGTTTTCTCATAAAAGGCAATTTTCTACCAAATCTACCTAGTTACAGCTTTTCTTTCAAGGCCGGCGCTGATGTCGTTGATGCAGCTGTAGACAGTATGAGTGGAATGACTAGTCAGCCGAGTATGGGAGCAATAGTGGCCTCACTCCAAGGAAGTGATCACGACACGGGTATGCTTGGCATAATGACATTACAATATCGCTCGCTGACTTTAACGGTCCTAAGGATTAAATCTGGACGACATCTCCAAGTATTCTGCTTACTGGGAGTCGGCTCGTCGACTTTATGGACCATTCGAATGTGCCGTTACTATGAAGAGTGGAAATGCTGACGTTTACAAACACGAAATCCCTGGTGGCCAGTACACCAACTTACAATTCCAGGTATTTGCATGAGCTCAATAAGTAATAAAGCAAAATTGATCTAGTACTTCAAAGTTTGCAAATTTAGGCGTTTTCTCTCGGTCTTGGCAACCAGTTCAATGAGGTGAAACGTATGTATCGTGAAGCAAACCTCGCTTTGGGTGACATCATTAAGGTTGGATCTCAGCACATTTTCTCAGTCCAAACTTTTCTTAACGCTGAAACTTTTGCAGAAAAAGCAATTTTCCGAAAAAAACATTGTAGGTTACCCCCTCGTCGAAGATCGTTGGAGATCTGGCTCAGTTCATGGTGCAAAATAACCTCACTCGCGAGACTCTCGTGGAACGCGCAGACGATTTGTCTTTTCCTGCAAGTGTAGTCGGTTACATGCAGGTGCGTGAGGAATTGAATAAAAAAA